TGCAGTTTGGGCACTCAGTCTCTAAAAGGTTCGCCATCACTGGTCTAAGACATAGGTGTCAAACTCGCCGTGTCATGTGACGTGTCATGACATATTGTGACTTTTTTTGCATTGCCAGAGCTGGGGTGTGCACAGCCTCAACATGATGCAACCGGCCCGCAGGCCAGCAGTTTGATACCTCTGGTCTAAGAAAATGCTTTCTCTGATCTCATATTCTGTGGAGTATAAAGTGAAGATTTTCTGGTCAATTCTTGGTAGCTAGAATGCTGAAAGATGTAATCCTACCACAGGGAAGAGTTCTCGTTTCAGACTAAGGTCAGCTTTTTGTTTCATATAAAAACAAGGAACTGAGATTCATTGGAAGATGGAAGCAAAGATTGAGCTGGAAAAGAGGAAGAGGCAAGGAGTCTCAAAACTATGGCCTTTTGCACAAAGGTGAAGCTTTTTTGCCAAATACAATGAGAAAAGTTTCATACTTCTTCAGTTCAAAATAAGCATTGTCAGTTCAAAATTCCTTGGTTTTGCACTCATGACAGGCAATGCAGTCTTAATGGTTTTTATGCTCAGTGGCATTTTCACCTATTCACAAGTATATCAGCACAGAAAGCACATGATGAAAGTATTGGGCATTTTTAGACATGGTGGTGTTGCAGATTCTGTGGCATGGACCTTACAGACCTCTCTCTCTTAAAACTAGACCTGAGCTGGAAGCTAAATTAGAAACTGAGGCAGTTACAATCTGATGCATGACACTCAAGCACAACTGAGCATTTAATTTGTCCCTATTGGAAGATGTGATGAAATGGCCTCATTAAGTAAGATCTGAACTTGCAGCTGCATCAAGGTGTTAAATATTTCAGTGCATACCAGGAAGCCACAACTGGAGGTAGGGCATTATTATAAACTCCGCAAGGAAAATAGAGAGCTGTCTATAAAGTTCTCAGGAGAAATTATGCTAGTTCTGATCTCATGACTGAAGAAATAGCATTTTCTCTTTCATGGAACTTCTTATTTAAACCAACGTGGTATTAACTTTTTGCTGCCATAGATTCTTAAGAAATATAACACTATTGTGAGGCTGTAATAACAAGGGTTATCCCATGTCTGGAATTTCCCAGACAAGTCTAGTTTTAGAACATCCCACCCAGATAAAATCTTAAAAGAGCTAAAAGTTCAGCCTTTTTGGAAAAGGCTACAGTAGTCCTATAGCCTCCCCTATAGTAGTCACTAGCATACTACATTTGCAAATCAAGAGTTTCTTACAAAGTATGTGATTGATACTTGTTAGGTTGTGAAGCATACAAACATTTTACAAAAATGTAGAACAAGGAGTCATTAACCAATTGTATTTGGGAAATGGATAAGCTAAGATTTCAGTTCTAATTTGTTGCTCAGCCCGACTCTGGGTATAACACTTTGAGAAGTGTTATACATTACCAGAAATCCATACTTCTATAAGGAGGTTCCAGATTTATGACTTAAGACAAAAGAAAATTCAATATTGTAACTGAAATAGTAAATGAATATCATAAATTGGATTTCTGTGAAAAACAGCCAGAGTCTGGGTGCCATTAAGACAATGGTTTTAACTTTCATAATGGAAGTACATCGTTAGACTGTGTGTATCATCAAACCACCAAGATTTCTTGGCAATGTATCATTTTTAATGGACGCACAGAAAGCCTATGATGCAATCAAGGCTTTAGTCTTCTTAGAATTTCAGTAAGTACTTATGAGCCTTCTACTCAAAGTTGAAATTTTTGGGGGGAAAACTTGTTTCCCATGTTTGGGAATGTTTAATGTTTCCTATTCTATGTGGCAAATACATAACACTTATGTTCAGTACTCCATTTGCCAAGCTAAATGGCAAAACATTGTATGGAAATGGGGCAATGGGAAGAAATATCATTTTTTACATATCTATGTTTTATTTTAATCATAGAATGAAGAAGGACTTACACAGGAAGGAAATATGGATAACACAGATCCAGCAGACCCAGAAAACGAGGCCTATGAAATGCCTCCTGAGGTAAATCTATTTCTGACATCTTCTCACAGAGTATTCCAATAATGGTTGCCTAACTAGAAGATGTGGCACTGTCCATTTCTGTTTGAAATACAGGTAATCCTCAACTTACGACAACAATTGAGCCCAACATTTTTGTTGCTAAGTGAGACATTGGTTAAGTGAATTTGGCTCCATTTTACCACCTTTCTTGCCACAGTTGTTAAGTGAATCACTGCAGTTGTTAAATTAGTGACACGGCTGTTAAGTGAATCTAGTTTCCCCATTGACTTTGCTTGTTAAAAAGTCACAAAAGGTGATCACGTGACCCCAAACACTACAACAGTCATAAATGTGAGTCAGTTTCCAAGTGTCTGAATTTTGATCACGTAACCATGGGGATGCTGCAACGGTTGTAGGTATGAAAAATGGTCATAAATCACTTTTTTCAGTGCCATTGTAACTTCAAACAGTCACTAAATGAACTGTTGTAAGTTGAGGAATACCTTGGGAATAAACCTATCTGGCACTTACTTATAGGGAACAAGCTGGTAAGGCCTGAGATGGTGAATTCACCCTCAAGAAATTTTGAGATGGATGTTCAGGAGAAACATTTCCAGAACTCTGAGGAAAAGCAAGTGGAGCTTTGATAAAAGTAGTAAAATTTCTAATCTCTGGAAGCTCATAAATTGCCATAATGACAATTATGATCAAAAATAATCTATTTCTTGCTGTCAAAATTTCTATTTGTATCAAAAGATAAGTGGGTAGAGAAATAGAAACAAGAGATGAATGGATTTTTTTTATTTTCTGTGCATTATTATTCTGAGGTTCTATTACTGAACATTTTAGGAATGCAAGTAGGCTTTCTGCAAAACAGAAAGGAAAATAAGCTAAATATTTTGTAAACATCTTTACTACACTCATTCTGGCGACAACAAAAATTATGCAGCTATATGAAAAACGTCATTATGATAGAGCCAGTAGACAAAATACTTCAGAAGTTGTTGAATTACAATCCCTTCATTTGGGCCATTGAGTATTCTGAATGGGGCTGACAGGAAATTGAAATCCAATAATGGTTTAAGAATCTTTATGCTTTATGCATCATTTTGATCACAAAACCCTCCATAACACAATTTCTAAAACATTAAATGTAGAAATATATATGCAATCCTACAAACCTAATTACACCACATCTCAAAGCTGTTTCAAATTATAGATTTCGACAAAACATTTTCACCTCTTCTTTCTCACGGCAATATCCTGCCTCCAAATACAAAATGAGAGGTTTTAAGATTGTGAATGAGATCATTACAGCATTTTCCAAAGGACAAGCACCATCCAGGAGTGTATATTTATCATGCATGAAGGCATTTATCCTTTTCCTCTTCTGTATAAATGACAGAGGCATATGGATCAGGGAGTAAGGGGCTTATTCCAGAAGGCAGACATTACAGCAGAAAAGCCACATTTCTGAGGTCCTACAAGATGGCATTGTTTAATCAAAGGAACCTGAACACAACAGTCTTGTGGGATAAAACCAATCAGGAGAATAGGCTAGGGTAGGGTAGGGTAGGGTAGGGTAGAGTAGAGTAAGGTAGGGTAGAGTAGAGTAGAGTAGAGTAGAGTAGAATAGAATAGAATAGAATAGAATAGAATAGAATAGAAGCTGGAAGGGACCTTGGAGGTCTTCTAGTCCAACCCCCTGCTCCGGTAGAAAACCCTATACCATTTCAGACAAATGGTTATCCAAAATCTCTTTTTAAAAACTTCCAGTGTTGGAGCATTCACAACTTCTGGAGGCAGGTTGTTCCACTGGTTAATTGTTCTAACTGTCAGGAAATTTCTCCTTAGTTCTAGGTTGCTTCTTTCCTTGATTAGCTTCCACCTATTGCCTCTTGTCCTACCCTCAGGTGCCCTGGAGAATACTAGGGGAGATAGGCAGTCTGCAAAGTAACTAGGCTCCATGCCATATAATGCTTTATAGGCAATGACCAACATCTTGAATCATATCCAGAAGCCAACAGGCAATCAGTGCAGCTTGCAAAGTAGTGGTATTACATGTGCATATCATGACTGCCCAATGCTATTTCATGCTGGAGCAGCTGAAGCTTCTGGGTGGTCTTCAGGGGCAGGCCCATGTAGTATGCATTGCCATAGCCAAGAATAGAAGCAAGCATTTCCTCTTCAAAGTATGGATCACCAACTATGGGGCAGAGATACCATATTATCTACTAAGCTCCATTTTTTTAAATCTACCTTCTCCTTCTAGACTATCCCAAAGAAATGAGAAAGCCAAAAGGAAAAGAGTAAGAACCTGAATCTAGTTTATTGCATTCCTAGCAGAAGGCACAACTAGGACAGATTTTCTCATTCCAAGATCCTTAGTATGCATGATATACTACACACACACACACACAGACACACACAAATTAAAAGAAAGGAGTCGTGTTTCAGTCTCTCCTAACTGTCCCTCAGATGTATCCACCTACACATCCTATTCTCCACAGCTTACAAATCGTGTAGGAAACTTGACTTATCTCAGATTCACAAGGAATTATATTTCCTGAATACATCAGCCCCTTTTTGCAGGCAATAGCTTAAGTACCCAACTAAATCCTGAAACTATTCATTAGGGGAACAAAAACAAAGCGTTGTTCTAGGGTTTTTGGGGGTTTTCACCAGAGATTTTTCTTAGCAAGAGAATTCCATGTTCTAAAGGCTCTACAGAGTTCAAGGGATGAAAAGATATCTCAGAATAAAGACTAAACAGAAACAAGTCCACATTACCTTTTATTCCATCGGTCTGAGACCTACAGAGAAGAGGTCTTTTTCTTGCAATCTTCTATCTATCTCAAATCTGACAATACCATTTCATGACAACTACATTTTATTCTGAATTGAGCTTTCAATTTCTCCTTCTTCTTTCTGTTCCAACAGGAAGAATACCAGGATTATGAACCAGAAGCTTGAATCTCCTCTCTTTCTTTCTATCTCTTGCTACCAGTCAACAAAAACATCTTGTCCTGTACAAGTGCTGAGTTCCAATGTGTAAACTACTTTTTATAGTTTTTATAGTGTCTTGGAGTTTTCCATCAACAGTGAACGGAGCATCTATAATTGTGTTCAGTTTCCATGTCTGTGACCAATCTCCTCCTGAAATGGAGGCTGGGTCCAAGAACCATTGTTGTTGTTTGGATATTGTGGCTTCAAGTTCTAAACACCGAAAAACAATTTAAAGAACACCTAAGTGTCTACTCCTTATTTAGAAAGCTGTAAATGTTTTGTTGATAGATCATTGGTAATTTAGTATTGTTTATGGTATGGAAGTTTTTAAAATGTTTTCTGTGGTCATTCTTTGCTGTCTGAGAATGACCCTGTTGTGAAAGTTGTTAATATATTTCTATACATATATACATATATATATATAAAGTAGCTGAGCATGAACTATGCACCTATAAATATTAACTGTGGAATATTACTGTTTGTGATAGGTTTTACTAACTTGTATCTGTAAATAAAGATGGCCAACTGGAATAAATAAAATGCATTGACTGTTCAAAGAGGAGCTGCTAAATTGGCTTCGACTAACTAGTACTTCCCATCCCAACATTTTCTTCCTAAGGTAGCTTCACACATTAATAGCTGTACAGGTTGACTGCTGTGAATGGAAACACAGGTAGTTCTCTACTTATGACCATAATTGAGCTGACAATTTCAGTTATAAGTCATGACAGTCATAAAGCAGGTCACCATGTGACCCTATCTGATTTTATCACCTCTTTTGTGGCAATCATTAAACAAACAAAGAGGCTATTAAGTGGACCTATTTTTCACTAATGGTGTTTTTCCCCAGAACCTAGAAGTGAAACCGGTTTCCAAAGGGGGGAAAAAAAACACAAATCGCAATTATGGGATGCTGAAAGGACCGTAAATGCGGGAGGTTGCTAAGCACCCAAAATGTGGTCACATGACCACAGAGGAGGTCTGGATATCAGAATTTCAAAGTGGCCAGTCATAAATCAAGGATTACCTATATAACTAATGTTGGAACGAATCAGGGCACCAGCTTGCCTTGGAGTCTACCATCAGCCCTTCATATCTCCACTTCTCTTCCAAACAATATTATAAAGGCTTATCATAGTTTAAAAAGCCTTAAAGCCTTAGCTGAAAAGCAGCATGTGAAATGACAGCGGGTAAAATGATAATGTGCACTGGATATTTAATAGCTTTTGTAATATAAGATAAATGTCGGTAGAAAAGTTTATCAATAGTTTTTAATCATGCTAGCCAACAGCGCATTCATAATGACCTTTTCATAGCATTAATCTCCTTCAAAGGGAGAATATAAATGAATATCAGTTGCTGGAGAACTGGGGAGCATTAGTGCCTTTACTGCTGTTTGTAACCAGTACATTTGGAAACATTAACATTAACAGTAGAAATCACAAATCATGATGTTAATGGCCCATCAGACTGATCCACAAGGGTTCTTCTTAAATGCGTGTTCAGTTAACATGATTTATGCAAGTACACAACTAAGCTTATCATAAAAGTTTCATTGTTAGGAAATATCAGTTTAATATTTTATAAGGCAGAATAGAAATATATTCCGCCTTGGCCATATTCTACTTTAACACATTTTCTGGACACAAGAGTTTGCGAACTTAGTAACCACGTAGCAAGCATTCCCCTAGGCAAAGCATATGCAGAAAATAAAATGTATTTTGCCACAGACATGTTGGAAGATCTCATCAATTAATTATTTACTATAGGGTGCTATTGAGTTTTTCCTTCTATTGCTTTTTCTTTTTAGCCGAGTGCCTGTGGAAAATATGAAATACAAACATTTATCCGTCTTTTTGTTACATGAATCTTCCCCTTATCACCACACCTTTTAGGTAAACGTCAACCAAACTATTCATGGTTCAAGATTGTTTGCAGCCATGCTATTGGGTTCATGTGCCTTCTTGAAAACCTGCCCTCCCATAGCCGAAAAGTTTGCTGCCTATAGGATTTTATGGTTGCCACGGTAACCCTCTATGCGAGTATGTGTAGACGTGTGTGTGTGAGAGAGAGAGACAGCGCATGAATAATATGCTGCATTTTAATGAAATTCTTTTAGAGTTGGCATAGCCTCTTTCCCAGATAAAAGAAATGTCTCTTTTTGTTTGATTACCTGAATATCTACAAAGACCAGCTGAATTTGACCCCAGCAAATGAAACCCATAAAATGATCAGAAGAACAAGAATCAAAAGCTATCCTGTCTGTATGTGCTTCCAACATAGACGTTGAGTATCAGGCAATGCTGCCTGCAGAATAATACATGAGATTGGCTAGGTGATGAATGAGATGCAGAAATGTTGTTACTTACTCTCTGCTTCTGCTTGAATGGAGGCAGTGGTGGGATTCAGCCGGTTTGCACCACTTCAGCAGAACCGGGAGCTAATTTTTTGTTGTCCAGGCCCAGAATGGACTTCCGGAAGTGGCATCCACACAGAGAATTGCTGGTTGTTCATATATTTGAATCCCACCACTGGAGGGAGACTACCTTTTGGTAAATAGTAACAAGGGATCAAGGTTGAATGCCATCATGTGGTAATCTGTTTGGCTTTGCCACTTTTGGTAGATTGTTGCAAATCAGGAACTACCATGGTAGTAAACCTTCCAATAGAACGAACAGATTTAGGTGACATTAAAGCCTTTTAACAACCCTACACTGTTCGTGATGAATATACTTTCCTCCTTGATAAACCCATGGATTTGGAAATTATTTTAATTTGAATCCTGGAACTGGCAGCATTTTGGAGGTAATTTCATCCAATCTCTTGATCAAAGGAGACGAGATAAGATAGTTTCCCACAGCAAGCCTGTACTTCACTTGAAAAAGTATCACCTTCTCTTATATTATCATAAACCAACCACAATCTGCTTCCTTACAATTTCTACTCATTGTTTTTAATCCAAAACACTCGTGCAGTAAAGAGCATGTCTGATCCCACACTGACTGGGTTTGTTAGTCCTTGTTTACTGCATAAAATGGATCACACAATACATGTTGTCATACATCATGGTTTCCATAATGCTTAGGTGGATACATCTTGTAAAAAAGCTGTGGTGGTACAGTGGTTAGAATGCAGTATTGCAGGCTAATTCTACTGACTGCCAGCAGTTCGATGCTGACCGGCTCAAGGCTGACTCAGCCTTCCATTCTTCCTAGGTTGGTAAAATGAGGACCCAGATTGTTGGGGGCAATATGCTGACTCTGTAAACCGCTTAGAGAGGGCTGTAAAGCACTATGAAGTGACATATAAGTGCTATTGCTACTGCTATTGCTAAACCAAAACCAAGAAACCCTATGACAAATATATAGGAGGGTGAATCAAGTCAGGAAAGCAATACTGAGGTCATAGTAAAAATCTCTACACTGACTTCCAAATTCATCTGACAATGCTACTGATAAGTGGCTGGGGGAAAGCAAGTGCAATAGAAAAAGTCCATCAGACATTTGGCCAGAGCAGCACTAAAAGACAAACTAGTCCTAGAATAAAGCCTACTAGAATGATTTTTGGTCTGGTCTATGAAAACATCCTCTGCTTAAAATCAAAATATTCAGTGTTTCCAGTGCCTTTTTTTCTCATAGTCATTTCAGAACCATCTAATTTCTCTGAAGGTGGTTGTTGCCAAATGATGCCAGCTATTTGATCATGAATTTTAAACTTGGAAAAGACTCCTGATCAGAGTCAGAATCATGAAATTTCCCCTTTATCAACAGAGAATCTATTTGCTGGTTCATTGTCTCACAGCTTTAACCTTTGGGGTATTTCTCCTAAAATCATCAGAATCTGAAACATTTATTAACCATTATTATGGTTAATGCTGCATATATCAACTATTCTTTTTTAGTGCTGTCAAGTTCTACATCAGGTGCCATATTCTGAAATGCATGATGATCTTCTCAAGGCCATTAGATATTTCTAATTTGGAGCAATTTGGCTATTTCCTTTTTTATTGTGGGCACTTCTACTTTAAGAATAAAAGAAGCCCTTTGTGAATGATGTTCGTTCCTTAAAATAACAAAATATTATCCAGTTAAAAGTAGATCCAGACTATTTGGGCAAAACTACCTGGCATTTAACAATATTTAAGAAGCTCTTCTGATCTAAAAATGCCTGGCAGATGGAAAAACTGTAGGTGGGAAGAACACACGAGAGAGCCAGAAAAGTAGGTCAGATGAGAGCCATCATTTTAAAAGAATTCCAGGGAGCGGAAAGGAAATATTAAACTGAAGACAAAAATGTGGTTGTCCTTTACAACTTGAGCTCAATGAGATTAAAAGCTTGGATCTTCCGGCTCATATGATTGACTGTTCATTTTTAAAATAGCAGCTCTCCAGATATATCCCCAAAACTAACACAACAGGTTAGAACAGAGTTTCTCCATCTTAGCAACTTAACAACTTTAAGATGGGTGCCTAATTCAATTCCCAGATTTTCCCAGCCAGCATGTGGATTTCTGGGAGTTGAAGTCCACACATTTGAAAAGGTGTTAAGGTTGGGAAACAAAAGGATTGGACTCTTCACCGCCATTTCATTTTTATCTGATTGACTGTTGATGGGTTGTTTGTTTGTTTTGATTAAGGAAGACTTGTCAAATCTGCCATCAAACCGCTTCAGCTTCACTTCCCTTTGATGTCAGCCTGCCATAAACTTTGGGGAGGGGGCAATGGGAGGATATAGGGAGGGGGATGACAGGAACCAGAGGTGCCAACCATAGACAACAGTTGAGAGGTCCAAGGACCTCATACTGGGAAAGAAATGCGAACACCCACCAAAGAGGCGCCAAAATGTGGAAGTTTTACCAAAACACCTAGTTTGAATCTTATTGGACATCACCAAGATGACAAAGGGGGGGAGAACCTGAGAGAAGGGAAAATTACTGGATTTTCACAGGAATTCCTCAGACCTGTTTT